AATGCGTTTATGGAAAGAGAACATGGAGAACATGTCGCAAAAATAAATTTCACGCAGCTGAGATGAACAGTTGTTGATATATTTACATGTGAAGTAACAGGAAGTGATGTCTGAGGGGAATGTCTGCATGTAAACAGAGCGTTACTATGACGACTGACAGACTGTAGAGAAGAATCTGATGTTTCTTTAGGTTGTTTTCAGTTTATCAGACAGATGAAGACGAGTTCAGAGAATATTTCAATAAACAAAGACCAGAAACTTCCTTTTCTTAAAGAGTTCCCCTTTGATGTCACTTCCTGTTTCACTTTCTTGAGCCAAGTTCAAAACAAAATGCTTGTTTTGTGACAAAATAAGTTAAACTGTGTTATGCCAAGTTTTTTAAATAAAAAATATGCTTTCTTTGACTTTTATTATTTAAATGGGCAAAATTATGTAAAATCAACTTTTTTGAGTTTTATATCATGTTATAATGTTATACTCTCGTAAAAAACATGTCCAAAGCCTTGCTCTGATTCATTCATCATGTTTGAGAAATCCTGCAGTGTTTTTATGAAGCCATGCTGAGGAGCAAAATGACAGGTGGGGACCAGAAACACCTTTTGGGACCAGAAACCCCTCTGGGACACGTGTTTAAGCTGAACTTCCTCATGGCAGAGCGCACCCCCTCCCCACACACTCCGCCCATGACTCCTGCAGGCTCTCGGGTCAAAGTGAAAGTGAAACCTAACTGTCTGCTGAGCTCTCAACATTAGTTCTCACTCAGTGAAGCTCTTTTCAGATTAAAAATACCTTTGAGGAAATGTATTTTCAGGTGTCTGCATCATAGCGCACACACGACACCCCCCCACCCCCACCGAACAGGACGGGACAGAAGCAGAAGGTGGTTCTTAAAGAGACAGAGGCMAATTTCAAGACGTTTAGAAGAGGAAGTGATGAGAAGATAAGTTTATTTTCTATTTAAACATAAAAACAGCATTTTAATAACAGCTAAAGGTGACACAGATACTTTATTATGGTATAGTATTTAAATATATGCCTGAGAAACACATAATATTGGCCCTTTAAAAGGGTCTGCACGTCACAAGAACTTTAAAATAAAATAAACTCATCTGGTTTTGGATCAATGATCGGATGAAGCAACGTGAAGAACATCTACCAGGTAGAAACGATGAAGCTTTACTCAAAGTAAGAGTTGGGGATCACTCAGCTATTACCACACCAAATTTCAAGTCAATGTCTGTAAAACTGACTGAGTTATCTCCACTTTTATGTTAGCTGATACCAATTAGCTACGGCCTCTAACTTAAACTGAAATGACTAAGTTAATGAGCTGCAGACGAACATCCAGTCCTTTTGTTCTGCAAGTTCCATCAAAATCCATTCGGTGGTTCACGGGATATTATGCTAACAGACACACATTTTAATGGTTTTAATAACCCTGATAAAGCCTGTTGTGTTTTTTCTTTCTGCATCTTAAAGCTTCCTGCAGTCAGATCGCAGAGATATCTACGCATCCTTTCAGAAAACCTTTATTTCGACAAAAAAAGTCAGCTTTTATCTGCTTCAGTGGGTGTGGAAGCAGCAGCTGCTGGTACGGTGTGTGACAGTGAGAATAATCGCCGTGTCAAATCCACCGGGGCTCCGGCGTGTTAACGTTCCTCTGATGTGTGACAACCGCCAAGGTGACGAGTGGAAAAAAATAAAAAAATAAAAAACCCGCCACAGAGCCCAGAGATAAAACCCGGTGTCAGAGGGAGACGGGTGACGGTGCACTTACTGACACAGATTTGTTCATGCGGCGTGAAAACGTTTAATAAGAAACAGCTCGCACACGTGTGGCTGACAGGACGCACGTCGTGTCACAAAGACAGGAAACAAACGGATTTATTCAAAGAGGCAGACGATAAAAATCAACTAATTGTGGTTTTAAAAGCAGTCGTCAGTGAAATCATCTTTAACAGACGCCTGAACATGTTTCTCTAAAACACAACTGCAGCATTTTAAACAGCTTTTATTACCACCAACCAACAACAGGTGTGTGTTTTTAACAACAGGTGTGTGTTTTTAACAACAGGTGTGTGTTTTTAACAACAGGTGTGTGTTTTTAACAACAGGTGTGTGTTATTAACAACAGGTGTGTGTTATTAACAACAGGTGTGTGTTATTAACAATAGGTGCTAAATATCTCAAACCACTGGATGGATTTTCATCAAACTTTTCCAGTAAGTAATCATCAAATGTACGTCAACAAATGAACCGAATCCACAGCTAATCCACATTAGCAAACACAAAAAAAACAGCTATAATTTGGTCAAACTTACAAACATTTAGCTGATTTGTTGTGATAGTAGCTGTGAGTCGTTCACAACACAAACTGAGGAGAATCTCTCCTAAATGGTAGCGTGGTCAAACTTTGACTAAAACAGCTGATAAACATGTGTTTTTCTCAGCTAAAATGAGCTGCGTTCTCACAGCATTTCACCCTAATCTGATGTTATGACCGCCCCAACCGGGGCTCAGGTTAACCAAATATTTTACAGATTTGACCTTTTTTTTATTTACACTGCTCAAAAAAATAAAGGGAACACTTAAACAACGCACGCTAACTCCCGATCTTAATCAATGAAATATTCGCAGTGAGTACTTTGTTCTGTACAGAGTTGAATGTGCTTCACAAAAGTTTGATTTACTTGGACGTTTAACTGTTCACTTTATTTTTTGAGCAGTGTGTTTATTTATTTATTTATTTTTAAATGGTATTAATTAAAATGAATGAAAATAAATGTTACTGAATGTTTCATTATCATCCTTTTTAAAAGATGACAGGATGTTTTCCTCCTGTCAGTCAGAATGGCGGACAGGTAAAAAGGCTGGAGCAAGCTCTGGTCTGAACAGAAACCATACGTTTGTTATTAAACTGAACTCATTCGATGTTCTTCAAAGCGACTGCAGTCGATCGATCCGGATGTTGATTATTGATACAAACATCACGCAGTTTAAAGCTCAGGACTCGGCTCGTCTTCAGAAACACGACACAGGTCCAGCTGCTTCGTGCTCCTCAGACTTTCTGCGTTCATCACACGATGCTAACGTTAGCGCTGGATGGGATGGACACTCGAGTTTGTTCCTGATTCTGCACCTGAGCGGGCAGCAAGATCAGGTTTAAACACTGAACCAATCAGAGCAGATATTAATTTAGTGGCTGTGATCGAACGAATCCACACGTTAAACACACAACATCCATGTGTCGTGTAAACACAGCGTGCTGCAGGAGCATGAAAACTGAACGGTGTGAACGCAGCTGCTGGTCAACCCTCTGTAAAGAGCGGTGGGTGACGTGCACTCCTTTAAGGCAGTGATTCCCAACCAGAGCGACGTGAGAGTATCACAGGGCAGGGGGGACGTGGAAACATTTCCCAGGTGAGTAAAAAAATTAAAATAAATTTCCGCAATGGAGAAACTGCAGAAAAAAAAATCACAGATTGACAAAACAAAATAGAATCCAGTAAGAAACACAGAATCTGACAGAATTTGCTTCATTTGGTTGAGTTTCTGAGATATTCTGGATGCTGCTGCTTCCTTCACCTGCCATTACCTACTTCTACACTTTCAAGGCAACATTTTTAGCTTTATGTTTAATTTGAGTTGAAAAAAATAATAAAACGCCTGAGAATTAAACGTTCAAGTTAAGAGGATTAAACAAACAATTTTCATTTAATAATTAGTTGTTGTACGTTATAGTTTTGGAGAATCGTCAGTATGTTTGAGGGGGGTACTAATGGCATGACAAAACGTCTCAGGGGGTACACAAGTCAAACAGGTTGGGAAACACCGCTTTAAGGAACGTTTGGCCTTTACGTGTCGACGAGCTGAAAGATTATTTCCAGGCAGAACCACGAGTCAAACAACGACACCATGAAAATCATCCTCCAACCGTTTGACCAACATATTAACAGGGGGAGGGGATAATCACAAAAACACACATTATTAGATTGTAGCATCACAGGAGAACACACACACACACACACACACACACACACACACACACACACACACACACACACACACACACACTACAACGACTAATCCTGAAGAAGCTTAATTGTTTCCCAGGAAACTAGCTCCCCCACTAAGACGACGACTGTGAAATATCCTCCAGCAATTATTCTACTTTCAAATGATTTACTCCCATCCTGAAGCTAAATCCTGCCTGTGAGCTTACCTAGTCGTTTTGTGGGAGGGGAGGGGGTTTAAACCTAAAGAACTGAGGAGTCCTGGAGGAAAAACAACATCTCTGTCAGCCTCTGGTGGAATAAGAGAACGGGGCTGCGAGCTGAAATGAAAAGGTTAGCTCAATGTTTGTGGTTAATGATGGCGGGGTTGTGACGACAGCCAGCGGGGCTGATTAATTCCTGCAATAAACACGCCCGTCTGGGGTGCAGTCGTTTCTAATCGCCAGATGAGTCAGACCACGCCGTTCGCCTTCATCCTTTTAAGCAGGTGCCAGTGAAGGACAGCCCAAAAACCATCGGCGACAAAGAGCGGCGTCCATTTTCTTTCTTAATTAGCAGCAGAGCGCGAGCGCAGGAACTAATTGTTGATCTCCGCTAAACGGAGCCGCGATGGACGCCGCGGCGTCGGTTTGTGTTTAGGTTGAGCAGCTCCTGGGTGGGAGCGCCCCGGACGGTTGGCTTTTCTCCCGTCCACAGAGACGTGTGTGCGCGTGGCTCACCGCTCGACCGCCTCAAAGAGGCGACGGTCGCACAATAACCATTGTCTGCGGTAAATCCACCGATACAGGAGGTGAGGCGGGGAGGGGGGAGGTTTCACTGCCCCTCGTCCTCCGGAGCTTTAACAGCAACAAGACAATGAAGCACACACACCTGGGATTACACACAAAGCAGCAGCTTCACAGGAACTGAGAGACAAACGTTCCTCTCAGCTTCCTGTTTTCAAACATCCATCAAAGCTTCAGTCTGAACCGTTCTGCTCATCCTTACCTGCAGTTCGGAGGCGGGTCTAGTGTTATTTCTGCAAGCTCCTTCTGAATCCTGCAAAGAAAACAAACATTTGTTGTTTTAAATTTAACAAACAAAACGAGCTTCACAAAATATACAAACTAAAGTTTATTATGATTCCAGCTGAAATTATATAAATCTGTTTTAATATGCTGAACGCGCTCTGAGCAGGAAGTTTATTTCTGAGTCTGAGCTTGTTTGTTTCTAACTGATGTGTCGAGTTCTGATCCCTGCTGAGATCCTGATCCTGATCCTGATCCTGATCCAGATCCAGATCCAGATCCAGATCCCAGCAGCTTCGCTTCATTTTCTTTTTAACCTTTTTTAAAACAAACGTTCTTCATCTCTTTTACTTCAGGAGAAACGTCCTGATGACAAACAAAACAGACCCAACAGGTGAACACACAACAAACACACACCTGTGTGGAGCTGACTCGCTGTAAGGACAGGTAACGATGTAGATGATGTCATTAACTTAATTATTCATTTTTAAACTCGTTAATACAATCAAACATGTGGATTTGTTTGTTTACGCCTTTTTGTTAAAGAAAGAAAAACCCACAAAGATCACAGAAATGACTCAAAACTGACAAAAAGATATTTATTAAAAAAACTACTAAACTTATAAAAATGTCTTTTTAAAAATAATTATTTTAAACTAATAAAAACCTCGACTGAGACGACAACAGATTTACTAAATATTTTGTTTCCCTTTAGAGTCGATTACTGACGTCAACTGACTTCTGTAACTCTGAGACCTCTGCACCTGTCCACATGTCCACCTGTCCTCATGTCCTCCTGTCCTCATGTCCACATGTCCTCCTGTCCTCATGTCCTCCTGTCCTCATGTCCTCCTGTCCTCATGTCCTCCTGTCCACCTGTCCACCAGTCCTCCTGTCCTCCTGTCCTCATGTCCTCCTGTCCACATGTCCACCAGTCCTCCTGTCCTCATGTCCTCATGTCCACATGTCCTCCTGTCCACATGTCCTCCTGTCCTCATGTCCTCCTGTCCACATGTCCACATGTCCTCCTGTCCACATGTCCTCCTGTCCTCATGTCCTCCTGTCCTCATGTCCTCCTGTCCACATGTCCACATGTCCTCCTGTCCACATGTCCTCCTGTCCTCATGTCCACCTGTCCTCCAGTCCTCATGTCCACCTGTCCACATGTCCTCATGTCCTCCTGTCCTCCTGTCCTCATGTCCACCTGTCCTCCAGTCCTCCTGTCCTCATGTCCACCAGTCTTCCTGTCCACCAGTCTTCCTGTCCTCCAGTCCTCATGTCCACCTGTCCTCATGTCCACCTGTCCTCATGTCCACCTGTCCTCATGTCCTCCTGTCCTCATGTCCACCTGTCCTCCAGTCCTCCTGTCCACCAGTCTTCCTGTCCTCCAGTCCTCATGTCCACCTGTCCTCATGTCCACCTGTCCTCATGTCCTCCTGTCCACCTGTCCTCCTGTCCTCATGTCCACCTGTCCTCCTGTCCACCAGTCTTCCTGTCCTCCAGTCCTCCTGTCCACCTGTCCTCATGTCCACCTGTCCTCCAGTCCACCTGTCCTCCAGTCCTCATGTCCACCAGTCCTCATGTCCTCCTGTCCTCATGTCCTCCTGTCCTCATGTCCACCAGTCCTCATGTCCACCAGTCCTCATGTCCACCAGTCCTCCTGTCCTCATGTCCTCCAGTCCTCATGTCCACCTGTCCTCCTGTCCTCATGTCCTCCTGTCCTCATGTCCACCAGTCCTCATGTCCACCAGTCCTCATGTCCACCAGTCCTCCTGTCCTCATGTCCTCCAGTCCTCATGTCCACCTGTCCTCCTGTCCTCATGTCCTCCTGTCCTCATGTCCACCAGTCCTCCTGTCCTCATGTCCTCCAGTCCTCATGTCCACATGTCCTCCTGTCCACCTGTCCTCCTGTCCTCATGTCCTCCTGTCCACCTGTCGTCCTGTCCTCATGTCCTCCTGTCCACATGTCCTCATGTCCACCTGTCCTCCAGTACACCTGTCCTCATGTCCACCAGTCCTCATGTCCTCCAGTCCTCATGTCCTCATGTCCTCCAGTCCTCATGTCCTCCTGTCCTCATGTCCACCTGTCCTCATGTCCTCCTGTCGTCATGTCCTCCTGTCCACCAGTCCTCATGTCCTCCTGTCCACCTGTCCTCATGTCCTCCAGTCCTCATGTCCACCTGTCGTCCTGTCCACCTGTCCTCAGGAGCTCTGGACCACATGTCCTCATGTGTCCACAAGTGTTCTGGTCCACTCCTCATGAACCAACTGGTCCAGTTGTCTCAGGTCTGAAGGGTTCCTCCTCCAGATGTTTCAGCTCCACAGATGTTCAACAGGATCTGGGTCAGGACTCAGAGGGTCTCTTCAGAACAGTCCAGTGTTTGGTTCTGATCCTTTGACACATGACCCGAGACGTTCTCCAGAACAGAACCGAGCCTCCTCCATGTGTCTCTGTAGGTCCAGGGTTCTGCTCTTTGTTCTGGTTCTGGGTCGGTGAACACAGCTGGTGGGACTCCAGTTTTGTCTCATGTGTCTGAAGGACGTTTGTCAAACTTCAGTCGTTTCTATGATTTCATGTCCATCAAGTCCAGTTTGTGTCAAACAGACCCAGTGACCTTTGACCTCTGAGTCCACCTCTGATCTCTGAGGAGGTTCTGGACTCTGAGGAGATTCTGGACTCTTTGGTTTCCATAAATACTGTAAACAGACTGAAAACTGATCACAGAACATTTAATTAATCTGAGTCAGGTTGGTCCCAGTTTGTTCTTTACATCATGATTAACTTCATTCATTTAATATTTTATTAAAGCAACAACTGATATTCAGAATTTATATTTTTATCAAGATAATTCAGAGTTGGATTTTCTTTCTTTAACAAACTAATTTATAAACAAGTTTAAGCTAATATATATTTTAAAAAACAAAAGCTTTATGTTAATGTTCTCATCTCCATTTATCCATTTTAAATCGTTCATTTGTTTCTCTTCTTTGCTGCAGGTCACAATAATTACAACATGTTAAATATTCAGGCTTTTCACCTTTAATTCCATAAAGTTTTATTTTTTTAATCATGCTGAAGTCGTCACTCTAAACTTAAACTCTGTACTTTAATTTGAAAGTCTGTGTTCATGTTTTATTTTGTAGGATCCTGAACATGGGCCTCAGCCGGCTCCTCGCTCAACTGGTTGCATAATTTTTTTTTTTTTTTGGAGGGGTGGGGGGCGAGCGCTCAGGCGGGTGGGGGCAGACGAAGCGAGCGCTGCGGAGAACGAGGCGCATCCATTAAAAGAAACGGGCTGGAATAAGAATATCCGTTTCAAACGACAGCGGTGACACTTCAGCGCCGAGCCGGGTGTGTGCGTCACGCTGAACAGTGTGGATGTTTGAAATGACATCGCCTGTGGGACTCCAGTCCTTTTATACAACGTCACCTCCCCCCCAGGCACAAACAGAGGGGCGGGGCTTCAGCAGAACAAACAGCTCCTGTGTAATCCTGCTCAGATCCAGGCTGGTTTTAACTCACCTCTTGGCACTGGTTGAAAGTTTAGCAGCGGTTTTACTGGAGATCTTGGTCTCCTTCTTTTTGGGCTGTGCTTGCTCCCGCTCCTGCTCGGGCGGTACCGTTTCCCTCTGTTCGATATCCGAGCTGCCCCCACTCGTGCTGGGGCTGTCGTCCGGTCTCTGCACTTCGCTGCTGGACATCGTGGGCCCTGGAAGAGGTGGACAGACAGCCGGTGAAGTCAAAACAAACAACAACTCAGACGGTTTGTTTCAGCTGCAGAATCACGGTTATATTTTTATCTGAACTTCTCCTCAGAGAGTCTGATGTCTCTACAGCTTCTATGTGGTTTTATTTCAGCAGATTTGGGTGCTTTATTTACGTTGAGCGCATACCCGCATCCATATATCTGTACTTATCTGTAAAGCTGAATAAATTCTTTAAAATCGCATCGGTTGATAAAGTTCCAGACAACATTTTTGACCCACACTATGCAGTAACTTTAGTTTTCTGTCATGCAACTAGAATTTCAAACACGTTTTACTCAGTTTTTAAAACTGTCAGAATAATCACAAACGTTGCCACGTTAAGAGTGTTTGGCAACCAGTGAAAATAAACTGTGACCAGTTGGAGAAGAAAATAAATTATAATTAAACTGAGGCGTAAATAAAAGACTTTTGGACTAAATTAAAACAAAGGAAGTCACAACTTATCTGCAGGGTCATTACTAAACAAACTGGTTGTGTGTGGGGTTTACGTGTTCTCCCTGTGCAGGTGTTAACTAAACTGTCATTAGGTGTGAGAGCGTGACGGATCGTCTCTGATGGACCAGACCTGTCCAGGGTGTACCCCACTTCCTGCACTGTGACCCCCGGAGCAAAGCAGCGCCTCACCTCAACCCTGACCGGATTAAAAAACTGAATGGATTCATCTAAAAGTGATCAGAGACACAGACTGAATATTCTGTAAAATTATCTTTATGCAGACTTGAAATGAGGTCCAGATTTCTAATTTAAAAGCCGTGCTGACAGTGGAAACACTTTTTATTGACTCTATTAATCAATTCAGCCAAAAAAACACTAATAAAGCAACTCTTTTATAATCGAATTGTCCAAAAGTCATTAAATCAAAGTCTTAAAGGAATTCAAATGACAAGATTAATTACTTTAAACAAACCTTTAAAAAAACATTTTGCTCAGATTGTCACGTGTTGAAGAGTCTCAGCTACTACCACTTTAAATTTCAGCTCAATTTCTGCAAAACTGGCTGAATTTCAGCTGTTTGTGTATTTTAGGGCCAGCTGGCTGCGGCGGCCATCTTGAATTGAGTTGGGTTCAAAGAAAACAACCTACTGGTTCATTTCCTTTAAGTTTCTTAAACATACGTCCAGTGGTTCACAAAATATTTTGCTAACAGGAAGACAGAACTCAGATCTTACAGTTAGCGCTCGTGATATTTGTTAGGGATCGTCTCAGCTAACACTGCAGTGTTAACACAACGTTCCTCTGTCAAGGATGAGAACATCTTCATCCCTGAAAGAGTGACCGCTGGCCTGTAGATGAGTGTAAACTGCAGAGTCCTGGCCTGTA